TTGGCCATTATTACACTTTGCACCAACCAGTTCTGAAACTGGTTTAGAGAGTTTCGATCTCATTCCAAGTCTCTCCTCTGCTGTTATGACACCTTGAAAACCAAGGTCACATGAGAGTCACGAGTGTCTCAGTGGTGATAATAACTACTTATTAACCGAGAGTGAGGTCTTTATTGGAAAATCTCAAACCGAGACTTTGCATTATTGACAGAGCGATAGTAAGGTCAATACGACAAGACTGAGTTTTAAGATTTTTCTGTAAAGACCGAACGTTCCAGGTTAATAAGTTGTTATTATATGGCTTTCTCATTTGGTTTTGCAAGCCCGGAATGCACCCACGGGCATTACAGCAGAAAAATGCACTAGAATTAGCGAATCAGAGCACGCGTTAGACCAGCTAAAAATACAAGTCATATACTGGTAATAAATATGGGTTATTGATCAAGCATGAGGTCAAGATGTCGAGGTTCATAAACATGCAAAAATGAACCAGGCCAATATCCATCCATCTTGACCAAACACTTGGTCAATAAAGGAATTACTATATGGCTTCTACTTTGGCTTGGGATAAATTTTTCTTGCGGGGCACAGTGGCATCTTGCCCACTCAGGTAGCCAATCACAGTGCAGGGTTTGGTTCATCTTGCCTGCTCACAGAGTTAGCCATATAGCAATAAACTATTTTTATTCAAGGTAATGAATGCTACCTGATTTATTGTTAGCTTGGTCCGGATTTTCCTATCTCTAGCCACGGTCATGGTAACGCTTTCATTTTTTTTCTATACCGGATTTCTTTTTTACTCGAGAGAGAGGGGGTGGGGAGGGGGAGGTGAACGAAATAAGTTGTAGTTTACCAGCTTAGGGTCAGTCCATATAGTGATGAAAAATAAAACTGTGACCTCGGTCTTGAAAATGCATTTCAAAACCTTCATCATAGTTTTTCACTCTAAGGACCTCCCAGCCAGCAAGGATCATTTAGCAATTTGTAATTCTCTTAGATTTACAACACAACATGTGTTGCATACATTGCAATGTACTAAAAAGAGTTACAATGTACTAACTTCTCTGTCTTAGTACACCACTGGCAGGAAAAATTTGTTGCTGCAGTTCGCTCGATACACTCAGTACATGTTTGGGCACCCACACAACCTGTGACACAATAACAGACAGACACAAAAGTCATTTTGTAAATGATGTTAAACATGCATGCTTGACTAATTACAGAGTGTGAAATCAAATTTTGGGGTAGTCTACAATTAGTCTCGGACTTTCCAAGCGTAAAACATACTTCCAAACTTCTCCAAGTTTTCCCTGACTGAGAAAAAATTTACTTACTATAAAACTAGTGGTTAGTTCAGTTACTTTGTAAATCAGTTCAGGCTACCACAGCTCTGCCAAAATTCTCTGACCTTGGAAAGAAATTGATTGATTCTTGATCTTCATTCCCTGGTCAGATACAAAAGTCACTCCAATCTTTGCCACAATCATCCCTTCCCCCGCCCCCCTCACACACCACCACCACCACCACTCCCAAGGGAGGGAAGTCCCAACAGTATAAAAGTAATATAGTTAACTGTGCCACAAAGGGTGGATCATACATTTTGCCATTTTGATCTAAAATTGTATCGCAGAATATTAGGGGCTGGACACAACTGACAACCCTCACCAAAAATGCTTTCCAAGGGGAATAAAACTGTATAAAAATTAATTAATCAGAGATTTGTCAAAGTGGAAATGACTTGGTGTTTGGTCTGGCACTTCACTGTAACTAAACATTCAATCAATATTGTGTTGTTCCAGAAAAGCTCCATACTTCCCCCACAGAAGGGATTGGAATTTCCTCAGGGCTGGGGGGCTCTGTAAGACCAAAAAAATAAATAAAGAAGTGTATGAAGCTCAATCGAAATTTCCAAAGGGCTAGAGAGAGAGGGGGGGCCTTAGAAAAAAACGCCCTTCCATGAGGGAGGTATGGATATTTTCTGGAAAGTTCTACACATTTAACATTTACTAACTTAGCAGAGGTTGAAATATCACTGCTGCATTGTTAACAACACTGTCCTTGGAGATGTTAATTGCGCTATATATGTAAAAATATCGGAAGAGAATGTTCCTTCGGGTGTCTAGATGCCTGATGACAAAAGCATCTGCTATGCCAACTTTCACTGGGTGGTATGGCAAGGAAGGAATCTTTCCTACTTCAATTGGGATCTGAAACATAAGACTGTATTAGCCTCAAAAGAGATTAAAGTCCTGTGGAGACCGCATAGACACAGTACAGCAGTTTCAGTACATCTAATTTGATAGCCTGCATAGCAAGCGTTCCTGTACAAAGAGCTTTTCTGCATTCTGGCCACGCATACATTGGTAAATTTGCTTTTGCAGGGAAAACAACAACCAGTCATCAGCTTCTAAAATTTGGTCTTTCGTTATCTGGACACAAAAAATGACTCAGTAAAGCTAAGCAAGGTTGCCAAAAAAGACTATCAAACATTAGTACTCCTTCACTGGTTCCTGTTTGGCACATGATCGATAACTAAAACAGCAGCTGAAAAATTTTAAAAGCTTTTGAACTGAATCCAGCTGGTAATAGAGCCACCAAGTACATAACCTCTAAAAGATAGTGTCTTCTGAGTAAAATCGTATATGTACCATCCACATCAAGTCTAACAAATCTTCGCTAAGGCTAGCACAGTTTCACAAACCCTCCTCCACGACACTGTGCAAGTTACACTCGAGTTATTCCTGGAATCATTTAATCGAACTTGATACACTTGTCAATCAAGATGACCATGCTGCACCAATCAGGAGGCCCGTTCGTGGGCAAACAGGATTTTCAAAATCAAGGGGTTTGCAGGCAACATTCCCTCTCTCGCCCAACTACCCCCTGCTTCATCAAATTTTTGCTCTTGCTCCAATTTATGTGCGGTCAGAATGCAGAAAAGCTCTTTCTACAGGAACTAGCAGGCTACTGCTTTGATGGATCATACATAAATTCATACATACTTAATTTCATACTTAGGTAAAACTATGGCGACAGTATAGCAGATGTGGGTCGACCTACCATAGTACATGTAAGTAATACCTTACTAATGAAAAAATAGTAAGTATTACCGAGAGACAGAATTGTTCAGGTCCCTGTTCAAATTTGTAACCTTCTGACATAAATCTTGAAGTCTATGTTTGCTCACTGATGTTTGGTATTCATGAAGAGTTTTACTTCAGATTGAGACTTTACAGGTGGAACATCCATGGTCATTAATAAAAGTACCTAAATCTATATATTGAATACCTTTCTGTACTCTGATGAAGGCTGACAGAAGCCACCATAATAATAATAATTAATTATTATTATAATTACAATAATTATTGATGTCACATTCATTTGATAAGGCTGTACATGTACCTGTTTGTATGCAAACCAGATTCTGCCATCTTTATGTAGGGTGCACTGGAAGGTGAATGGTTTATCTATGTGTGGAAGAATAAAGCAAAACAATATCTGTTACTTGCAATTTGTCAGCTCCAGGGAAATTCAAAAAAATTTAATACAGAAACCTTTTGCTGAACACTATTGCATATAGTTTGACATAATTGATTTAAATCTACAGATGCTTACACCGTATAATTTATCCCTCAGCTGGTTAATTCATATTTAATCAGGGTCCAATCATTCACTAACACGGGTAAAGACAGTACTTACTGTTTGTATGCATTAAAATCCCTAGAGGGGGTAACTCCCAGAAAAATTGGGTGGGGGCATGCAGCCCGCTTCCCAAAACCCTCCCTATTTAAGACCAATCTGCTTATAACCAGAAGTAATTATAAAACAGGATTTAACAGAAGTAGAAGACAGTTAATCTACTGGCAAAAAAAGCATTTTTGCTATCAGTCAGGATCTGTGAACCTCACTCTGAAGTACAAATTTGATTTCCTGTTAGCTACAAAATTGCCAGCTGCCAGTACATTTTGACAGGGCTGCTCACGTCTAAATAAATTTGCCCCAACCTGTTGATTGGAAATGCATAATAAGATAAAAATGTCTCGTTATATAAATTTACCAGTAGCGTTCTCATGTACATGTAGATGAACGTTATACCACTCTACAGTCAACTTTGATTCTACGATCAGAGATAAACAGAATAAGTCAAGAACTTTTAATAATAAATATGAATTTTCACTTTTTGAATAAACTTAAGAATACACTAATTAATATTTATTTAATATCACAATTAACAGGTGCATGAAATTAGCTAAGGCCCTGGCAAAAATATAGCATCATTCAAAGTAATATGTACACACAAAAATTAACTTAATTACCATCATCAAGTGTGTAAACCTTTGAGTCCTTGCTCAAATGAGGATTAAAGTACGCCATTAGTGGTGCTAGATACTGAACCTGTGTCATGAGCTTAGTGTCATGTACATCCATGTACAGGAAACCTTAAAAAAGATTGATGGTAAAACCACAATAAGGATAGAAATGACATCTCATTAAAATGCAAGTACTGTAAGCGTGACTGACTATTAAAATTGCACACCCTTGAGTAGTTTTTACTGTGCTACTATGTCATTAATAAACAAAAATACGCATGAATTAATATTAGATGCATCTCCACTACCGCTACATGGAAATGAGTGATATCTTTTGTTTCTTAAATATGCATACATGGGAGGTGTGGTGGCCTCATGGTGAGTGTGGATCGAGCAGTCCTGAGGGTCAAGCCCTGGCTGGTGACACTGTGTTGTGTTCTTGGGCAAGACACTTTACTCCTACAGTGTCTCTTTCCACACAGGTGTTATAAATCAGTGAACTTAATGCTGGGGGTAACCATGCAATGGACTTAAATAAGCATCCCATCCAGGGGGAGCAGATTACTCCTAAAACTCCTATTACTCCAGAACCGAGATATTAGCTCTGGCCTAATGGGCCACTTGGCTCGTATGCAGACTTAACCTTTTTTTCTCCATATGCACACAACAACCAGATGAAAGCCTTGAATTTGTTTGATATTGTCATTGAATGTTTTACACTGTTCCTACCTCCTGTTGTAAGCATTACTTCATTAAGCAAGTGACCATAGTAGGGAAACTGAAAACTCAACTTGTGCGTCTACCAAAAATGAACTATGGTTAATAGGTTTATTCACTGATCTGCTTATTAATAAAACTGTTAATCTGTTAATAAGTTAACTAGATACTGTTAATCTGCAAGTCTCAGAACTGTTTAGTCTAGGCTTACTCAAAACAACAAAACATGTCAGATGCCATTTTATGACAATTTATAACTACATGTACTTTAAATTGACTGAAGATATAATCTGTACATAAATTCTTATTGCCAAGTAACCAAGAAACTGTCTACTAAATCATGTGCAGTTGAAATCTAAAGAGTGTTTTTTTTTTTTT